AACAAACAGAGAAGAAGGGTTAGTTCGGTTTTAATGTGTTCTTAACACAGTGGCTTTTTGGTGATATACTTGATTTGTCCCTTGAATTACTTGAAAAAAGAGTTTGCATATGAGATTTGGTTTAATTGGGAATAAACAATAATAACTAGGGATTACATATTCTACTACTTGGGAACCGATAATTTATTTGGCATGCCATCTCTTATGATTGTTGCTCCAACCTTGAAGCAGACTTGGTTATCTAATTTTATTTTTAAAGATTTTGTTTTAAATTGAACTGTGCCCGGTTCTGCTGTGATGATGGATTTCTTTTGTAAGGGATGAAATGCGTGTTTTGTAGTTCAGTGCTGCTGTCTCGTTGAACTTGATTTGTATGGGGTGAAATGCCTGATTTCTATTCCGGTGTTGGTGTCTTGCTGAATTTGATTTGTATGGGGACCTTTTTCTGATTTATATTTGGGTTGTGGTCATGTTACACTCTAATGTTTTCATGTAAACAATACACTCTCGGAGCTGTATCTCAAGAAAAATTGTAGATGTCGACCTCGGCTGAAGGCGGGTATTCGCAAAATAAACAAGGAGAAGTAAAGTGGCCTCCAGAGAATGAGGCTCGGTTAATATCGTTGATGTTGGACCAAGTTATCTTGGGGAAGTGCATCAGCCAAAAATTCAAAACAAGCAATTGGATGGAGATCCAGGAAAAATTGAACGATATATGTGGTCCAGAACAGCATTACGAGATAACACAAATCATGAGTAAGCATGATCGATTGAAAGTGCATTGGCGTCATTTTTACAATATGTTTAATAAAGATACGGGGTTCGCTTGGGATTCTGCCACTGGAAAGATCACTGGCGGTGAAGAACTTTGGGTCCAGTGGATCACGGTTAGTGCACTAGTTCCATTTGTTTCCCATGTTTATATGATTACTATGTGTACTTTATGAAGAGTTGAATTTTATAAATGGGTCTTCATAAACAGAAATTTGAATTGGTTACTTTTGTGAGTGAACAAGTACATTTGTTTCCTTTTGTTTGTTAGGCTTAATTTGAATCAAACCCTTTTGTTTTTAATAATGAAATGAAGGTTTTACATGACTGCACTTGGCCATTATTATGAAATGACTTTTATTAATATGTTTCTCCTTTATTACTATAAATTTCTAGGTCAATGTTACTGTATGTTTGGCTGTAATATTTGATATGAAATTCTCTGTAATAAACAACCTCTTATTACGTGTCTACTCTTTTCCAAAATCAGGGTCGTCCATAGGACAAGGACATAAATAAAAGGATTTGCGTGCACTACCGTGAGCTGACCACAATTTTCAACGGGACAACAAGAGCATCTATAAAAACACCCAATAGAAATGGCAGACGTCGAAGAACAAACTCGGCAGTAACGCCCAATTACTTGTTTCTTGATGAGTTAAGTGATGAGCCAATGAACACCCCAGACAATGATCGGTGCACTCCTCGCCGTAAAGGGACCACTTCGACCTTCGACACGACCATGAATTCTATTACTGAAGCAAGCCACATAATCCAGCAAAATGCGCGTCCAGAAGCAGATCAAAAGAGCCTCTAACAAGCTTTGAGGGCGCTGGAGTCCTTGTCTAATGTCCCTATGCCGGTTCGAAAGATAGCTTGGAGGAAGTGTCGTGACCCGTGGAGTCTGTACACGTTCCTTGGACTGAAAATGGAAGAAAACCGGCTTGCACTTCTACAGATGTGGATGGACGATGATGGAAATTAGGGCTGATGTTGTGTGGCCTGCATTTAACTATTCACTTGAACTATTTCACTTGCCTGCTACTTCGAAATCCTGAGAACTGGATTTGCCTTTTTTTTCCCTACACATTTGTGTGACTTGAACTGTTTTTATTCATCATATTGTTTGACTTATGTGTTACTTCAGTTTGGTACTTCATGTTGTCTTGTTTTTCATTTACAAATAATTGTTGATTTTGAAAACTTGGTCCCACAAATTCTCCATTTGTAGGATGTCGCACATTGATGACGATGAGGATTACGATGATGTCGAACAGGATGTCGGTGAAGAATTAAACGACAATATGGATGAAGATGTTAACGATGTTGTTCAGCCGTTTCATTTATCCCATTTGCAACAATTTACTAATATGCTCGACTTTCAACGACAACAACTTATGCATGTTTATGCAGCGTGACAATCTAATCCATCCATGACAAGAATCCTATATCGGCAATCGACGTACATTGGGGAGGACTGGATTAATGAACTCCTAACAGGCACGATAAAAGATTCTACGATGCAATGGGTCTGAACAAGAAAGTTTTCAAATTGATCTGCAAAGAAATAAAACAGACGGGTTGCCTTGGCGATGCAAGACAATAAAAGGTCCACATTCAAGAAAGTGTTGCGATGTTATTGCATACGATAAAAGGTCACCAAAGGCATCGACGTGCTGTAGAGTCATTTCGACAATCTACAGAGAAGATTAGTAATCATGTACATATCATGATCACTGCCCTATGCAAATTGGCTCCCCAATACATACGTCCACCTGATTTTAGTCGTGTTCTTGATTGGATACAAAAGAATCGATATTTATATCCATACTTTAAGGTGAAACGCATAATTAGATTGTATTTTATGGTTCACCCTTTGGATTTATAACATTAATAAATTTTTTATCTTAACTCAGGATTGCATCGGTGCCATCCACGGAACCATCATACCGGCTTAGGTACATGAAAAAAATCATGGGAAATGCAGATGTCGAAAATGTTATTTGTCCAAAAAAGATATGGTCGCGTGCAACTTTGACTGCAAGTTCACTTTTGTTTTAGCGGGATGAGAAAGCAGGGAAAAGATGCCGGTAATTTTGCTAAAACGTTGACAGACCCCACAAATACTTTCCCGCGGCCACCAGAGGGTATGTTGTTATTTTTGCTTCCCTTTTTCAGACATCTTGGATGAAAATTTTTTTACGGCAAATGAAATTAACGTTGCCATATTATTTTAGGTTATAATAACACAACTACTTTGAATGATAGGAAAATATTATGTGGTGGACTCAGGTTATGCCAATGTCCCGGGATTCATGTCATCTTACCGTGGCGATAGGTACCATCTCCCAGAGTGAATTCGGTCAAACCAAACCCCTAAAAATGCGAGAGAGCTATTTAACCAACGCCATGCCACTGTTCGGAATGTGGTTGAACATAGCTTTGGTATACTGAAAGGTAAGTTCTCCATTATAAAAGGCCTAATGCCAAACTACACACCCGACTTCCAGACAGACATATTTATCGCATGTTGTGCTGTACATAATTTCATCCTTCAAACCAAAAGTTCGATAACATACCGCTGGCCATACAAGACCCGAACTACATACCAGAACCAGATGAAGACGATTTTACATGGCCTTTGAGGACAACTTTAGATACCTCTAATGTTGGTGTGTGTGAACAGTGTGGTTTGCGCGATTCGATTGCTGCCGTCTTGTAGGCCGATCAAGGTGCCAGGCGTCGTTAGTTGGTGTATTACTTAATCATGTAACAGTATGTTTTATTTATTAATATCGTATTCCAAACACTTAAGACAAGTGTGCCTTTAAATCTTGTTTCCAAACTTTTTACACAAGTATGCCTTTTAATCTTGTTTCCTAATTAGTATTGGTTGGTTTAAATGAATATTTTTTTTTTCACATAAAAAATGTTTACATGCAATTAAAAATACACAATGTACTTTTGGAGGAATCTTATAACGTTAGAAGTAAAGACTAGTACCATATATACAAAGATCATAACTAATGTATTAGGCATAATTGAATTAGAAATATTTTTCAAATAATTCAATTGTCATAATTAATATATTGGACGTTATTTATTAATGAAGATATCAAATATTAATGTATTAAAATATATTGGACATTTTTTATTAATATATTAAAATTTTTTTCAAATATTTTTATTGTCATGTAATTTTTAGCGAAACTTCACCACATTTGTTTCTATATCGAAATTAATTCATATGAACTCATCAGGACAACATCTAATCATCAATTCCCTCATCATAATACATGATAACAATGGCAACATAATTCATCGAAGACCACATATATATCATACGAATCCGAACAAACCCTATCATGATATAAATGAGGCCCGAACATAAAAATCATGAGAGGACTCTCACTTACTCACATATTAACACATATATACTCGCATAAAACAATAGGGCTCAAGCCATCGATACCGTTCTCGGGAAAGACACTCGAAAACGAGTAAGAGAGGGGCTGTTCGGGGTCGGTGGAGCTCGCGGCGGCGCTCGGCAGCGGGTGGCGCGCACGGGGAAGGCGGGGCTGCCGGCGACGTGCTCGTGGTGGTGTAGCGATGGGCGGGTTTCGCGGGTAGCAGCGATCGAGAGAGATGATGAGGGATTCTTCTCTCTCTCTCTTTTTTTTTTGAATAGAGACGCAAAGAGAGAGTTGGGAGAGGAGAGTGTCTTACTCGTTCAATAGAGAAAAGGGAGATGAAAGCGTGTGAATNGCGAAGGCCACTCAAAAGGGTCGGCAATAAAAGTGGCTCAGTTCCCGGTTGGATTGGTCGCGAAAGTAATTAAAAACGCATGTAAATTCGGTTTACCCGATTAAACCGGAATCGACGAACGACGATAAAATAAAATCGAACGAACTAATAATATCATATTATTAAATCAATAATATAATATAAGCAATTATCAAGACATAAAATAATAATGCCGATTCGTTAAATATCCGAAAATAAAATCGAACGAACTAATAGTATCATATTATTCAATCAATAATATAATATAAGCAATTAATCGCCGAACGACGATTGTTTTAAAAATAAAACAAACAAGTACTTAAATATATTATTTAAGTACCAATAATGACGACATCACTGAAATCCATAATCTAATCCGATAAATAGAATAATTCGAGAAATTCTATAAATCGAACGGGGCATTACAACACATTTATGTGTGATAACTCTTTGTTGTTTCCAATAAGCAATATGTCATCCACGTAAAGCACAAGAAACACCACCATGCTCCAACCGATTTTCTTGTAAACGCAGTGCTCATGCCGACATTGAGTGAACCCGTACGACTGGATCACCTCGTAAAAAAGGATGTTCCAAGATCTCGAAGCTTGCTTCAGTCCATAAATAGACCGATTAAGCTTACACACTAGATGCTCACGACCTTCAGCAATGAATCCCTCTGGTTGCTGCATATAGATGTCTTCTTGCAGGTTCCTGTTATGAAAAGCTGCCTTGACATCCATCTGCCAGACCTCATAATCCATAGGGGCGGCTACAACCAAGAGAATCCGAGTGGACTTAAGCATAGCTACTGGCGAAAAGGTCTCATCATAATCAATACCCTCGATCTGGGTATAACCTTTCACAACAAGCCTAGCTTTAAAGGTTTGCACCTTCCCATCCAATCCTCTGTTTCTCTTATAGATCCACTTACATCCAATGGGTCGTACCCCATCTGGTGGTTCTACAAGATCCCAGACCTGATTGGAGTCCATTGACCCCATTTTAGCTTTCATTGCAATATTCCATGAATCTGCATCTTTATCTTGGAGTGCCTCATCGTAAGTTCTTGGATCCGATTCTAGATCTCCTGGAACTGAGTCCGATGACTCTCCAAGACCTATCCATCGTTCGGGTAAATGAGAAACCCTCCCACTTGGACGAGGCACTGTCTGCACTGGTACACTTTTAGTGTGTCGTGTTGCAGTATTATGTGATGTATCTACTTGCGCACTCGGTGGGGAGCCGTCAACTTCACTCTTTTACTCTTATAAGACTAGTCTATTCGTGGGCTTATGATTCATAATATAGTTTTCTTCCAAGAATCTAGCGTTCGTCAAAACGATCACCTTCTGATCCTCAGGACTATAAAATAATCCACCTTTCGTTCCCTTGGGATAACCTACAAAAACTCGTGCTTCCGAACGTTTCTCCAACTTGCCAGGTTCCTGCACTAACACGTGTGCAGGACTACCCCAAACTCGAAACTGTGAGAAACTGGGCTTGAGCCCTTTCCACATCTCATAAGTAGTAGTGTCAATTGACTTCGATGGAACCATGTTCAGAATATACGATGTTGTTTTCAATGCTAAACCCCAAAATAAATCTGGTAACCTCGAATAACTCATCATAGACCTAACCATCTCTATAAGAGTCCTATTTCTTTGCTCTGCAACCTCGTTCTGCTGGGGCATGCCGGGTGCAGTCAATTAGGATTCAATCCCAGCTTTCGATAAGTATGTCCGGAACTCTCCAAAGAGGTATTCTCTACCTCGATCAGAACGAAGTGACTTGATACTTTTACCATGAAGCTTCTCTACAACTGGCCGATACTCCTTGAGTTTCTCAAAACATTCAGACTTGCGGTACAACAGGTAAACGTACCCAAATCTTGAGTAATCATCTATAAAAGACACATAGTACTCGAAACCTCCTCTAGCCTGGATCGACATAGGACCACACAAATCAGAATGAATCAATAATAGCACTTCTTGGCTCCTATACCCCTTTGCCGTAAACGGCCTCTTGGCCATCTTACCTTCCAGGCAGGATTCTCAAGTTGGATAGTGCTCTTCCAATGGACCGAGAAGTCCACTGACCACTAACTTTTGAATCCTCCTAAGGTTGATGTGCCCAAGTCTAAGGTGCCACAGAAACGCTTGATTCATCTGCGTAGACTCCTTCCTCTTATTAGATGTAGTTATGACATTATTCAATTCATTTTGTTGCAATGTGGGAGAGTATGGTTTGAGCTCATATAAATTGTCAACTAATGAACCACAACATATGAAACGATTTCCAAAACGAATAATAACCATGTCATCAAGCGAAACTGAAAAATCATTCATAACGAGTTTAGAAATTGAAACAAGATTCTTTCTAAAACTAGGAACATAAAGGCAATCTCTCAAAACCAAACTACTACTATCAAATGATAAAGTAACATCTCCCACTGCAACAGCCGCCACTTTCATAACATTGCCCATGTAGACGGTGATCTCTCCCTCCCTAAGCCGCTTGGTTTCCTGGAACCCCTGCAACGAGATGCAGAAGTGATAAGTGGCTCCAGTATCTAAACACTAGGTTCTGGTAGATACAACCGCTAAACATGTTTCTATGACATTAACGAAAGAGTTTTACCTTTCTTGAGGAAAGGGCAGTCGACCTTCCAGTGTCCTGACTTGTTCCACTTGTGGCATCTTCCTTTCGGTTTCTTTGCCACAGTGTGAGGGGCCAGTCACTGAGCAACCAGAGCATCCTGTGCCCTTGCTTTTCCTACAGACTCCTTTCTCGTCCTGTCCTTGTGAGGCTTGGAAGGTTAGTTCAACTGGAATTGGTCAAAACTTTTCGGCAGAAGCTTGAGCACTTTATCGACCTGGGTTAACCCGTCAATACTAGCTCCTAATGTTTCTAGCTCATTCAACTGTGCGATAGCACTCAGAGCATGCTCCCTTCCGAGTGTGCCCTTGTACTCCTCAGAAGTCAACACTACGTCTAAGTTCCTCTTTCAATCAATGTAATTAGGACCAGTAAGCTGATTTTCACTTAGAATGACAGACAACGGACTGAACGACATGATGAATATTCTGAGAATCATGCAAGTAAATATTACAGATTAAACATATTTGAATTTAAATTCTAATATTGATATCCTCAAAACAATATTAACTTAAATTCACTGAAATCTATTACACCTTGTGATAATGCATGCTACAAGGGTCACCCTACAAACTCGCATTTTGTAAGAGAAGGGCTTTTCAAGGGCCCATTAATTTCCATAAGTCAAAACCAAATTCATGACGAACGAAATTAATAGTTGGTCTCATTTGGCTATGCAATAGAATTCAGGGACCCCGAGGGGGGTTAATAAATTTAATTGCATTCTAAATGAATCTCATTTCTCGGTCCTAAGGTCGTCACATTTGATTATACATCATCCGAAGGGAAGCTCGTACGCTCTCATAAGATTTCCTCTAATCGTCTAATTAGAAATTTGTCCTGGTAATTACCTACAATTAAATTTCAGCAATTTCACCTGAGGGGGAGCCCATTACCGCAGATTAATTGATTTACCGACAAAGTAGAAATGGAGGCCTTAGGAATTTTACAATTAACCTTAATTTAAAATCCCTTCTCAAACTTAGTATAATTTAATGAGGATTTTTAACTATTTATGCAATTCCAAATTAATATATGTAAATGCAATAATTAATTAACATGAAATTCTAAATTAATCCATGTTAATGCAACAATTAATTATCATGTACAATAATTCATGCAATTCTAAATTAATCTATGTCAGTGCACTAATTAATTATCATGCATGATATATTGATATAATTCTAAATTAATCCTATGCATTACATAATTAATTAACATGCATAATTATTCTTACAATACTAAATTAATCCCATGCAAGAACATAATTAATTAACATAC